GGGAGGGGCCCGAAGGTGATAGCTGTCCCAGAGCCCGACCTGGCTCTCGACAGCCCTGGTAGTAGTAGTAGTGGTAGCACTGCCCGGGTGGGGGCAGTACCATGAGGCATGCCATTTTCAATTATTATTATGATCCTATCATGAGTCTCAATAAGATCTACACTTAGACCTACATGTATCCAGTTGGTCCTCCCTTTTAGCTGTCCAAAATTTATAGCAATTTCCATTTCTGACCGAGTTTCCCTGCCTTTGTCGTTTCGCACCATTGCACTAAGTTGTTACCAAACCAATTAAAATTCGGTCTGTCTCGCAAATTCGCGAGTAGAGACACTCAGACAACTCCTGCTGCAATGATCGGGGATGAGTATCCGATGAGTTCACAGTTCGATGCGATCCTGCCTGGAGTAAGGCGAATTAACTTTAGGTGGAGAGCTCAGATGCGAGTGCGATATTTGAGCAAAACAAACGTGTCGGTCAGTTCATACCTTGGTGTGATCTTGCCTGGTGCAAATTAATCATTGTACCGTTTCTTCATCGAGATTTACAACGCTTGTGTGGTGATAAGATTCACGAGAGTGGCTGATTTTTTACGCGACGTGCAGTCAATGATCTCAACTTTTCTCTCTTGATTGATCGGCTGTGCCAGCCCAGGTTTTTGTTCCGTAATTAATTATGATGTGAAATGCGGGATCTTAACCGAATGTAGACCCTCAGGTAGAATGGGAGCGGGATCATAGGGGGGACTTTTGTATAGTAAAAATTATATTTTCTTAAAACGGCGGGATCTTAAACCGGGAACGTAAGCGGCGGAGACAATTGTAGGCTACTAACTAGCTCTTTTTATTCGCTCTCCTCTGGAAACAGTTTATTCTGTCCAACCCTATATTTTAATCAAGGCCTACAAAATATACATTGAGTACAATCTTTATCAATTAATTGAGAAAGCAACACCATTCCCAGCGATGTTTAGTGTCCATTTAAATTGTATATCTTTTTAAAAGAACCTTGATAGTGCTGTTTTGCTCCTGCAGCTTCTTGAGTCTTCATCTTTCTCCTTTAATTGCCAGAGGAACCGGAGAACATATTTCCATTTTCACATCTACAGATATCCCCCAGCAACATTACTACATAGTATAGAGAGGCACCTGAAGGCAAAGGTTTTGACATCAGAACATAAACAAACAAACAAACAAAAAGGAACAAATGATAGATAAAAGGTTATTGCATAAATTTTTTATTTACATTTCAATACATCAGTTGTCCTTTCATAGCTTTCTACTTCCTTCATTACTGTACATGATGAAACAATACAACTGATGACCCAAACGCTAGAAATATAAAAATAATAGGCCAACATGTAGTTTTGCAAAGCAAGATAAATCAAAGCAACTTTCTAAACATGTACTAGGGGTAGAAACCTTTCATTTTCATATAACTTTCATTCTCTTCCTTCTGGCTTTCCAATTTCCAGTATTCGAGTCACAAGGCTACACCCATAAACCGATACTGAAAGCTCTCTTAAACAAATGTAAAAATATTCATCTTCTTTTCCATGTGTTGTCATGTGTAATAAAAAAGCTACTTTTTGTTACAACTGTCCTCCCACTTCAGCCTCTGGTTAACAAATACATACCCCCCCCCCCCCCCACACACACAAAGAAAAAAAATGGTGAAATAATATAGGTTTAACATGTAGCCTACTAGGGTTAGAAACCTTTCATTTTCATATAACTTTCTCATTCTCTTCCTTCTAGCTCTCCAGTATTCGAGTCACAAGGCTACACCCATAAACCGATACTGAAAGCTCTCTTAAACAAATGTAAAAATATTCATCTTCTTTTCCATGTGTTGTGTAATAAAAAAGCTACTTTTTGTCCCCCCACAAAGAAAAAAAATGATGAAATAATATAGGTTTAACACCCTCTATCAGAACTATTAGGTTATCTAAGAGGCAGGACCTCTGGATTTAATGTCCATCTCTGAAAGGACCGAAAGTAAAGTGCCTTTCCCAAGGACACAACAATGGAGGACCAAGCTGAGGCTCAAACCACCTGAACTTGCAATCTCATGATATGGGCTGTTATAAAATCACAATGTATGCTCGTACTAGTAAAATTTGTTCTAATCTAAAATCAATTCTTTAGACCCTTCCTTCCCCTCTTTTGAAGGAAGGAATTCTATGGCCTCACTCCTGGAAGAATGATGATCAACATCTAAACTACTGTAACCACTGAAAGGGAAATAAAACATTTCTTCAAAGAGTGACAGCAGAAGACAACCGACAAATCACATGAGTACAGTGGAACTCGAATGCACTGAACTATGACTTAAGGAAAATTTTTACTTAATTAATGAAAGGAGGATTCCCAAATTTTAAAAAATTCATTTAATTTAAAATACCACTTATTCATTCAACACTTAAGACTTAAGCAAACTTGGACTCAACAAAGTTGCTTGCAGAACAAACAGCCCATACTGATGCGACTTCCAGCATTTTTCTCCAGCAACTAACCTTGTTGACTCTCTTCCGTTGGTCAACCTGCACCGTCGATCATAACACACTTATGTATTACACACTGCAAACCATGACTGACATCAGAGACACAGGGCCACCTTATGCGACCAACCAGAAACATGTGCTGAGGACACGTGTGTAAAAACATGTCTGGCCATGTTCTGGGTTTGGGAGAAGTAGGATGGGCGGTCAGCTACATACCGGCACTATGTATTTGTAGTTGAGGTGGCTGTGTGTAGGTTTGGTTTAAACATGCGGGTGTGGATTGTAAGCAGAAGTGTTGTCATAAATTTTGTGTCCTGCTGCTACTGAACAGTAATGGGTGTAGATCTACGTTATGATCTGCAGGGATGTCAGAGGAACCAAACATCTGGAAGGTCAAATCAAAACTAGCCCAACAGTTGACAGTGCAGTGCATTACACGAAGTGCAGAAAACAATCCGTCTTATAATATAACTCAGACATGTATTTGATCGAAGTGTACTTTTACACAGCGCATATTTCTGCAGTCCACTGTATGCAGCAGATTTTCTGATAAAGATGGCAGTGCACCAAGCTGAAAGACAAGATAAAAGCATCCATGGACCAAGAAACATATAAACTCAAGCGACAACAAACATCATGCAGATGTTGAAGTTCTGGTGTGGTTCATACGAACACCCCCCCCCCAAGTGAATCTTGTGCTAGCGCTCACGTCAGTCACACTTTTCTTAAATAACAAACATTATGATTCAACAAATTTAAAGATTGAGCCCGACCACTTCTGTGTGTGTGTGTGTGTGTGTGTATGTGTGAGAGAGCGAGTGATTTCTTTGTTTATAATATGAATATGATATTAATATGAGCAAATATTTTATAATTTTTTTCAGTCAGGCCTATTGTTTTGAACTTGGATTTATGTAAAGCACCTTAGAGCTGTCAGTATCACGAGAGTGGGCGCAAAAGAAATGATCTTCATTATAATTATTATCATTATTGTTATTATTTACAAGTCAGTTTCACTGCACTGCTTTATTCAACACACATTCATCAAAGAAACAAGCTTTGGTCTCTTGTTAACTTGCCATGCACCATACAAAAACCCCACAGGAGCCGTACTGGAGTACATGAATGATTATCTCTCTTGTAGTTTAAGGTGGCAGTTGTGCTTTTGCATTACTTTCATAGAGACTTCCTCATTGAAGGAAAGAGAAAGAAGCCTCCAATAAAGCATATTTTCATCACTTTTGTAAACATCCATCCTTCAGGAAGCTTCAAATGTTGCATCATCTTTCAATAATTAAACAGTTTAAAAGTCAAAGGAGAAAAAAAAGACTTTTTGTAATATATTGCAGCAAATCCCCCCTCCCCCCCCAACCCCCGTTCAACAGTGCTATCTATCAGATTAAGGAAATGCAATAGAAAAGTTATCTGCAAATAAAAACATTTATTGGGAATGAGACGGAGTAGGAGGAGGAGGGGAACTGAACACAGACCTGAAACTTGGAGGAGGCACAGATGGATTGAATGGGAGTCTATTGTCAGCACCATTTATGTAACCCATGCCACTGATGTTTGGTGGCCCAGGCATGTGAGGAGGCGGAGGAAGAGGAGGAGGAAAAGGAGGAGGAAGAGAAGGGGGAGGAGGAGGACATTGTCCTGGTCCAGGAGATGGAAATGAGAAAGGCGGAGGTCCTCTGAACATTTGTCCTCTCATATCAGGAGGACAGTGCGGTGCCATTGGTGGCCCACCAAATCTGTTCATAAAATCGAATCCTTGAGACCTAAACTGCTGGTGCTCCCACTTTGGCCGCTCCCCAAATGCAGGTCTTGGAGGAAAGGGTGACGACGAAAACCTCTGTGGTGGTGGCATCTGTGGAGCTTTGAGCCGATGACCTGTGAACGGAGTAAGGGAACCTCATTTACTACAAATGTAGAATAAAGTGTAAGGTAATGAATTTGAGTTTTAAAAACAACCAACAGAATCACATTGAGAAACAAACATTGATGAGCAGAAGTCTAGGTTACAAGCTTGGAATATCAGTTTCAATGTCCGAAAGCCACAGTAAAAAAAGAGTAAAGTGTCACCGTGAAAGTGACTGGTTCTGAGCAAGGGAACAGGATGCCAGAGCTGGTTGTAACGGAGTACAAGTACTCAGGTACTTGTACTTACGTTACAATTTTCGGTACTTTTACTGTACTCCGGTACATTTTGAGAATCAGTACTTTTACTCTACTCCGATACTTTTTATAAAAGTACTTTTGAGTATTTTTAAAGTACATTTTGAGTACTTTTGAAGCTTAATGAAAGAATAAGTGCCGGCATTCCTGATCATAATTTACGGAACAAACATGCGGGCGGGCACATCCCATCAACCAAGAATTAAAAGTTGAGATTAAAGAACAGCCCGTCGTGTCAAAGATCGGCCACTCTCGTGAATGTGATCACAAGCGTTGTAAAACTCCATGAAACGGTACAATGATCCCCAGACGGGATCACACCGAGGTGTGAACTGACCGATGGGCGTTTCTTTTCCCCAAACATCGCACTCGCTTCTGAGCTCGCCACCTGAACTTTAATCACTCGCTGGGTGGGTAGGGCCGAGGCTACCGGTATCCTCGGGTAGGGCCTACAAGTTCACTCCAGTCAGGATCACATCAAACTGTGAACTCTTCCCTGACCATTGAAGTTGAAGGAAGTTTTTCTCTATTCCTGAATTTGCGAGACAGCCTGAATTTTAATTGGTGTGGTCACAGCGTAATGGTATCTAACGACAAAGGCGGGGGGACTCAATGAGAGATGGAAGGCTACAATTTTTGGACAGGTAAAGGGGAGGGGCAACTGGATAAATGTAGATTTAAAGATCTCGAGACGATATGCTAATGAGTGGACAGTATAATATTATGGCATGCCTCATGCCACCATGCTCGTGTGATTGGTCATCAAGGTTGACCACTCTTTACTCGCCATATGTGACATGTCATAAACCTACCCAGGGGTCACGTCAGTTCTTGGGTCACTGTAGATTCTTCCTTGGCTTCGTCGGCTAAGATCCCGTTTTTCCCTTGCTCCCGAGCACTGGGATCTTAGGCGGAGACTACTGTAGTAGAGAATTTTTGGCTACACTACACTTACTAGACTCTAGGGAATTACATGTAGGCCTATTTTGGTTTGCCGTGGGCGCCGTGGACTACACAGTGTGACCAAAATCTGTCTTACCACTATTATAATCAATTGAAACTGAAACTGAGTTCTCAATGTATATCAATCTAACATTTTTTTAGGCTATCTAAATTTCTTTTTTCCTTTTCTTGTGGTTTGTGCTTAAGGCGACCTTGATTCCTTGAGGATTTGTTAATGAAGAATTCAATGCACTTTTTTTGCTGGCCATTTTCATCAATTTTATATTTTCTTAAGAGCAACTTTGTCTCTACATTTTCCAATTTGGATACTTTTCCTACTTTCCGACCTCTAGGACTGACTTACATTTGATCATATTTTCTTGCTCAAACAAGTTCTATTCATAATATCACTTACTCACTATATGCGTCTGCTTGTTTGCTGTTTATTTTTTTCGATTTCACGAACCATTTCCACCTACGCTCAGTGCGAATATTCTCAAATGCTTTGTATACTGTTTACATTATTAGTAATAAATGGCCGAATTTGTCAAACATACTAGATATGTTATTCAATATGATGTTTTGCATTAGCACTGAAGTGCTTTAGCATATTAGCAGAAGGTACTCAAAATGTACTCATAAGTACTTTTTTTAAAAAGTACTTGTACTCAAGTTTATTTTACAGGAAAGTACTTTTACTGTACTTAATAAATATTTTAGATTATACTTAAATTTGTACTTAAGTACCTTTTTAAAAGTACTTTAACAGCTTTGCAGGATGCGGACTGTGTCCCAAACAATGCTATAAAGATGTGGTCAGGACCTAGGCAACAATTAAGAGAAGCATTGCCAGCAAACATCACTGACTAGTGTCATGCCAAAATTATCTGGCCATAATTTTGCCCTATAGAATCTTCATGTTGGCTCCACATCTCTACCCTTTAAAAGAATCAACCAGTCTATTTTAACTTAAAAGGGCTCAATTTCCACTGTGTTACAAGAAAGGTGTGCAACAGCATTCAGGTGAGTCAAAAACAGTTAAGTTTACTTAACGTACTTTCCATTAATGACAAAGATAAAATGAACAATGAGAATAGAATTGAGTGTGTGTATGTTGCTGGATCCAGACCAACACCTTTGAATTTAGTTTCAAAGTAAGAGTTACAAAGCTCGCAACTGCAAAAGGTTATATGAGCTCGTGGAACACTAGTTGGTAGCATTCACTACAATTCACAGCACGGCCTGGTTTAGATCAAAATTTTGATTAAAATATTAAGAATTTGTGGTAAAACCTTGGTTTTAAAATAACACTTTCAACAATTTTTTAAATAACGCTATCTATAATTTACTGTGAAGGCCAAAGGCCTTCATAAAATCGAGAATTCTGTTGGGATCAACGACGGAGAACAGATCTCGCATTGCATTTAAAATACTTCCTTCGGGTCTCTCGAAGGTCTGGACATTCTGTTAAAATATATGTCTAATGGTAAAACCTGTGACACAGAATGGTTTTTCATCTCACTGAAGGAGGTATTTATGTGTCAGGAAGGTGTGTCCGATACATAATCGAGTAAAAGTGACTTCGTCTCTTCTGGAGTGGCCTGAAGGTTTCTGGGGACCCAGTTTGGGCATTATGTTGTGAAGTTTATAATTTATTTGTGAGACAGCGTGGTGAAATCAGGTGCTTGTCAAAATAATGAAATTGAAGAAAAAGGCATTTTCCCAACAGTTTCTCAATTTCTATCGAAATTTTGTTTTTTGCTTAAATACCTTTTATGTTCAAATGAAAACACATTTCCATAAACTACTGAAAAACCTTGTTTAAAGTAAAGGAACAATACATGTAATTTTCAGTTTTCAAGGACTCTTAAGCTTTTGAAGTTACCAAACTTTGGGGGCCATTTTCTCATCAATATAACCACTGAAACTTGGCTACCCCACCTTCTTCAATCGCAAATATCTCGACGTCTATTCAACCTATATTGATATCTTTTTTCACTGAAAGCAAGGCAAATGAATAAGCGTTCAGAAGAGATCAATAACTCCACATGATAAAAAATTGACAAGTGCTTGATTCCACCACGTCACGACACATTGTTTCTTCCAACGTGTCTCCCACAGACTCCACCTTCCAACGTGTCTCCCACAGACTCCACCTTCTAACGTGTCACCCACAGACTCCACAGATTTTTTACTTTTTCTTTAAGGCATGATGCGGGGGAAGGCCATGGTCAAATGACGTCATTTTTTAGTCTCAGATCAAAATTGGGCTTTTAACGGATTCGAGTACTTTGAAATATCTACTTTCCCAAAATGAAGGTCTTACGTCTCTATCAATAGCAGAACATGTTCAAAAACACTCACAAAGATGACACCCCCTTTCCTCTAAGTGAAAAAACCCCCGCAATTTTTTGCCCTAAAAAACGTCCTTTTTATGAAATGGGCATAAAGCTCTCCACACGCTCAGAAATCAGTCATGTTATACATCATTTTGAAGACTGATCTCTAATTTCGCAAAATGGCGATTCAAAAGCAGTTCGGACTTGATCATTGATAAATAAGTTGCAAGTAATATGGCTGTTTCCATTATTATTTAGCTGAGAATGATATGTCGTCATGATATATGCAACTAGATTACTGCGCACGTGCATGTGCAGTTTAAATCATGTTTAACTAAGTTCAAATCCAAGTTAATCAACCTTTTGTGAATGAGCTCCCCTTACAGTGCATGAGCACTTGAACTTGCCAGAACTGGTCAAATACCGAAGATGTCGGCCAAAGCCCACTCTCATGGCGTCGAAATGAGGATCGTCCCCCCCCGTCATACGGCCCTTAACGAGAGCTCGGTAAGAGATTCCGAATTTCCGCATAAATCAGGAAATCCAATTCCTGAAAAAGTCAGAATTTTGCCCGACTGGCCGATCGTTGAGAATCTGTTGCACATAAAAAAAAAAAAAGTCTTGACAAGAGATATATGAGAAAAGTGTTACGTAAATTTTAAGCCCCTGTGCACTTGATTTCCCGGAATCGGAAGAGTTCAGGACTTTTTTTTTTGGAAGCCAGTTAGCACAACTGCTCGATACAGCCGATCTACGTTATCCTCTAGCCTTGACCAGTGCGACGGCGCAAAAAAACCCAACAACTACTCAGACAGAAAACACCATATTTTCGTTTTACGGTGACAAACATCTTGTGCGGGAAGCCACGTATTCCGATTCATTCTCGCCGCCGCCAGCCAACTCTTCAGTTTTCACCCTCGACAGTGCTGCGTAGGGTCGAAGAAACCAAGTGCAAGGAAGGCCTTTTCAATATTGGCAGTATACGAAAGTCTGATCCAGCGATCGTAACCCAACAGTAAACCCATCCCCACAAGCCATTGTCTCCACTCACTGACCTGCCAAAAACCGTCCCACACGACACGCCCTTGAAGTCTCCCACAAGTATCTGAATAGGGTTGTACCATGAATGCAGGAAAGTTACGGAAAACTTCCGTTCTAACTTATTCTAAGTACGTATTTTAGTATTCGTTTGTTAATACAAAAGACAGCGGTTTGAACAGAGTTCTTGAATATCATGCACGAAAAATCTTGAACTGTGTGGAGATAAACATTGTACGAAAATGACCGAACAAGTTCTGTATTGTCGTTGTAAACTTGGAGGGATCAATGGTGGAAGAAAAGGACTAGAAAAAAACCCCCAACCAGCTGGGGACTTAGACCAACCTTCCCTGAGCCTGAGAGACAACAGGGTCGACATTGATGAACAACCGAATG